GAAGTTCATCCAGCATGGTTGGTTTTGTTTTCACAATACTACAGCTTATAGTTCAATCCCCGGACGGATTTTGGTCGAGCGTCATCCTGAAGAAAACAAACCCCAAGACCAAAGAAGTAATGACACTTCCTCCGATGCGGTTGCCTCCCTCCCATAGTACGCTGGCTGCTCAGCCGACTGCACTCGAAGCACGTCATTTTGCAGCGACGTATGCCCTATTCCGCGTATGTAACATGCAGAACCTGCATATGATGATGCCTCCAACCTACCGTGATCTCTGGAAAAGGGATTTCGCCCAACTCAAAGCGGATGACGTGAAAGTGGGTAATGGCTGGCTGTATGCAGCCGACCCCTTCATTGCATTGCAAGACCGTCAAAACGCCGCTACGGAGCTCACCAAGCGTAGAGCTGAGCAGGATAGCAAGGGTAAGGCAAAGCAAAAGGAACCACTTGTACAGCTGGGCGCTGCCGGAGGCGGCAACAAACTTCCGCCTAGTGGACGTTGGCAAAAGGCACCGAAAATTGACATGGGTGACAGAGCTCGCAGGCAAATTGAAGATTTGGTCAGGCGAAGCGCTCTCTGGAACCCAAATGGCATCCGGATTCCTGATGCCGAAAAGCGGAACATCGTGGATTCCTTTTGCCATCTGGGTTTTCGCAAGAGCCATGTGGAAGAGGCTGTGGCAGAGTGTAAAGACAGGGAAGAAGTATTGGAGTGGTTATTGATACACGTCCCGGAAGACGATCTACCGAAATGGAGTCTTCCGGAGGGCTATTCCGCCGGCATAACTCTTGCCAGCGCCGACTTGGCGAAGGAATATAAAATAAAGCGACTGGCCACGTCCGGTTACTCCACCGATCTTTGTGCAGAAGTACTTGATAAATACAATGATGATGAATTCAAAGCAGCGGAACACCTCCAAAACCTGCTAGTCGATGATGAGAGTCTTCCTAGTAATTCGGCCTCTTCTGAAAGCGAAATTGATGCATGGGATGAAGAAAACCAGACTTTGGAAGCAATATATGGTGAGAAATATAAAAGATTGTCAAGCAACAAGTGCGAAATCGTATCAGACTATTCGCGCTCGCAACATGCTGTAACCTATCATTTCCAGAAACCAGCGGGCGCCTCATACCCTGATTGCCCCTTGGTTTTCACTCTCTCATCCCAAACGATACCCGCTTACATACGCCTCAGCGCGATCAGACAAGCTATTCAATATGCTCGTGAAAATCTGCTTGGGGGGCCGATGGTATTTAACCTGGTAGATTGGTTAGATGAAAACATACCCCAAATTCTCGAAAACCCTGGAAAATTACGAAATATCTCGATTGAAGCTCCAGTTCGACCCAATGCCGGACGACCAGCAGCGACCAGCTTAAAGGGCTCCCGAAAATCTTCTAGAAAGGTCACGCCTGGAAATGAAGCCTTACAAAGCGAAGCATTGCGCAAAGCCTGGGAATCTAAACAACTACGTCCTGAGCAGCAGAAGATGATTGCGGCCAGGAAAGGGCTTCCAGCTTGGGAAATGCAAGCTGCCATCATCCAAGCAGTGAGCGCCAACCAAGTGACGATCATATCCGGAGAAACTGGAAGTGGGAAAAGTACCCAATCCGTTCAATTCCTACTTGATGATATAATTCAACGCGGTCTCGGTACCACAGCAAATATTGTCTGCACTCAGCCAAGACGTATATCTGCGATCGGGCTTGCTGATCGAGTCAGCGCGGAACGCTGTTCTACCGTTGGGGATGAGGTTGGGTATATCATTCGGGGAGATAGCAAATTCAAACATGGGGTCACTAAGATAACATACATGACAACCGGTGTCCTGTTACGCCGCCTGCAAGTTGGCGGTGATAACCTTGCAGAATCGCTTGCAGATATTAGCCACGTCATGGTTGACGAAGTCCATGAACGAAGCCTGGATACTGACATCCTCTTAGCAGTTTTGAAAGAAGCATTGAGAGCTCGACCTGACCTCAAACTCATACTCATGAGCGCTACGCTAGATGCAGATCTTTTCATCCGGTATTTTGGTGGTGATTCCCGGGTCGGGCGGGTCAATATTGCCGGAAGGACGTTCCCGGTTGAAGATATTTATGTCGACCAGGTGGTCCAAATGACGGAATTTCATCCAAGCGGTGTACCGTCGAGTTGGGATGAGCCTTCAGGCGGCCTTGAGGCGCCAGCCGAAACGCCCATAGGTACGATTTTGCAGAAACTCGGGAAAGGTATCAACTATGATTTGATCGCTGCCGTCGTTCGTCATATTGATGCCCAGCTAAAAGGGAAACCAGGAGGTATTCTGATTTTCTTACCTGGAACCATGGAAATAGACCGATGTCTAGCTGCAATGAGGGATCTAAGTTTTGCCTACCTACTACCTCTACACGCATCCCTCACACCAAACGAGCAGAAAAGGGTATTTTCAGATGCGCCTAAAGGAAAACGAAAAGTAATCGCCGCCACCAACGTTGCGGAAACGTCTATAACAATTGAAGACGTGGTTGCTGTCATCGACACCGGCCGCGTCAAGGAGACACGATATAACCCGGTGGATAACATCGTGCGGCTTGAAGAGACGTGGGCTTCCCAAGCCGCCTGTAAGCAACGCCGGGGCCGAGCAGGACGAGTAAGAAACGGGACTTGCTATAAATTGTATACTCGAAATGCAGAAAGTAGCATGGCTCCTCGGCCAGTTCCAGAAATTCAACGGGTACCGTTGGAGCAACTTTATCTGTCCGTCAAAGCAATGAAGGGTATCGACGATGTTGCGGGTTTTCTTGCCAGAACTCTCACGCCGCCTGATACTGCTGCCGTGCAAGGTGCTGTTGGCTTGCTCCATCGAGTTGGTGCACTTGACAATGGTCAACTGACGGCCCTTGGCCGTTATATATCAATTATCCCGACGGACTTGCGTTGCGCAAAACTCATGGTGTTTGGTGCAATTTTTGGATGTCTTGAGGCTTGTCTCACAATGGCCGCGATTCTTACCGCGAAAAGTCCATTTATATCTCCGAAAGATCAGCGAGAGGAAGCAAAGGTCGCAAGGGCTCGTTTTTCGACCGGTGATGGAGACCTTTTGGTCGACCTCGCAGCGTATCAACGTTGGTTAGAGCACGTCAAAAGCCAGGGCTATCGCCGAATGCTTGCATGGTGCAATGACAATTTTTTGATTCCGCAAACCCTTCGCGATATCTCATCCACCGGGCCCACCTATTGATCCGCACTAAAGGATGTTGGT